TCTCTTCCTCTATCTCATTCTGCTTGGGGTATTCACAGTCAGCTCCTGCAGCTGAGGCAATGGGTTTTTCCATTCATCTGTCCAGCTCATGGCAAGGCTTGACAAACTTTGCAGGCAGCCGCCATGGACCTGTAGGTAGGATACAAATATACCCCCTCCCCCAGGTTATCAGTTCTTGAGAAGTAGACAGGTTAAAGTGATTCCTTAAAGCAGAGGCATTCTGATGAAAAAGGAACGTGAAGCAGCTGCAGAAGTAAACTGCACAGTGTTAACAGTCAAGGAGTTTGCTGTGTCATTACCCTTTTTTTTTTCTGCTTTCTCTGCCACCGTGATGCTGCTTGGGTGGCAGTGGATAAAGCTTGTGGTTGCACTACCCCTCTAGCTTTTTCTGTTAGCAGTTCTTGTTTCAACCGATCTATCTGTTCCTCCAAGTCTTGGATTCACCACCAGGTTACTTTAAATGCACTAAGCAAGGCTCCTACCATGCGCCCAGCATGTTGTAGACACTCCTTAGGCTTTGTTTGTGGTGTCTCTGCAAACTGCCCCAATACTTCAATAGATCGAGAGGGGTTTTTGGAGGGGGGTTGTTGGGTTTTTTTTTCTTCACTCCTCGGCTCTGGCATCCATCCTGGCCGTTCCACCGCTGGAGCACTGGGAGCTGAATCGGAAGGCAGCTTCTTTTGAACATGGTTACCCAACTCTAGCAAATAACTTTTTTTTTCTTTTTTTTCCAAAGTCGCTCACCCTGCTTTGTGCAGCTACAAATGCCGGCCTGCTCAGCAGCAGCTATAAATGCCTGCCTCCTCAGCAGCGGCTACAGCCACCTGCCTGCTCAGCAGCAGCCATAAATACCTGCCGCAACCGCACTTTTACATTAACCCTTTCTTGCCCGAAATGTCAATCTGCTACCTGTTAAAAATTTTTACATGAACCAAACAACAAAAAATACACAGAACACCGTCTGCTCTCAACACACACACACACACACACACGATCCCCCAAGCACACTCCACACAACTACAATATTTGAAACACAAAATCCAGGCAATCATTACTCCCACTACACGGCCCCACATACAGAACGTGGCGTAAGGACCCTGTGAAGACGATCAGGAAACCAGCTCCAAGAAGCATCATCGCAGTGTGAGGTGGCAGGCCCAACTTCAGCAGGCGTCCCCGCGGAGGCTCTGCCTCCCCCGCATTGCATGAGGCTTGGGCTTTTATACTGACCAAAATGCACACTCGTTCCGACACAGGTGGCCAGCCTACATCAGAAGAAGTGGCCAGCAATATCTATAAAGGTCTCCAAGGGTCAATAGAAACATGGACATACTTATATTTGCCAACTTCTAGTACATGAGTATCACAGAGAGACTGTATCAAATGAGTTGTATATGGGTCCCCCAGTCCACAGTCTGCCACGGTCCGCCTGATATCCCCGATAAGAGCATATGAGAGGCTTTCCCACCGCAGGTCTTGATCTGGCACATACACCACTGGGAAAGCATGCAATATATCAGCATCCCCCACTGGTCTCGCTTCTCCCTTTACAGCTGCCCATTTATCATGAGTATCTGGGGGATATAAATCAGGCTCCTTTTCTGGGTCAATAGGCTCCAGGTCAAAAGGACAATCCAGTTCAGCATTAGAATTATCAGGCATCAGAACCTCAGGAGCAGCAAAAGCAGTCTGATGAACGTGCACAGGATCTTTCTCAGGGTCAATAGGGCCTGGGTCAAAAGGATCATCTTCATCCCTGTCCTCAGTTTTCACAGCCGTGGCGGCGACTGGCAGAGGTTTGGGGGGGGGGGGGGGGCACTGGGTTCCACGATCTCATATTTTGACTTTAATTCTCCAAATGACTATTGCATGGATGTCTCTAGACCAGTCTAGACCAGCCATTCCTTCTCAGTCAGGCTGATTTCTGCCTCCAGTACAGTCAACTCTTGGGATCCTCCTGTCACTCCAGATATACAAATGGGTCCTACCCCTTGATAGCTTGATGGCATCAGGGTCCACTGTGCACCGGTATCTACTAGAGCCTTATACTCCTGTGGGACTGATGTGCCAGGCCATCTGATCCACACAGTCCAGTAAACCTGATTGTCCCTCTCCTCCAGAGAGGGACAGCAAATTTTCAAGTTTACAGACTATGGAGTTTTTAATCATGAAGCCAACTCCAGAAAGATGACTTTCAGTTTTGGATTTGCCTGACCAGTAGAGTGTATAGCCGGCACCATGTTCTTTAAGGCTACCTTCCTCATGAAGGCAAACTTCACTGAGAGCAGCAATATTGATGTTAAGTTGTGACAATTTGTGGGCAATTAGCGCAGAAAGGCGCTCAGGATGCCCGCTGTTTGCTGTATCAAGCATGGTTCTGATGTTCCAACATGCGAGTGTCAATCTGGACACATCTTTGGAGGCAGGTGTATGCCTTTGTCTCTTAGGTAAAACACATGCAGCATATTCAGCAACATGCCGATTCCCAGCAAAAGGAGCAGGATGATTTCAATGGCATTAAAAGGATATTCAAAATCTTTAATATTTTTAAATGCTGCTGTAAATAGCCTGGTGGGGGAGCAGAGGGTGTGAGAGGATGTCTCCCTCATAGGTTGATCCTCCAAGGGGGTAAAAAAGAGGTGTAATTGTTAACAGTTCCCATTACATGCCTCCTGAAGTATAGAGGTGATGTCCATGTTGAGAAGACATACCAGAGCAGTTTCATGATCAATAATTCTGTTGTATTATAAGACATTATCATAGAGTGAAACGAGAATCTTAGCCCTTGTCCCAAAGCTGATAACACTAATACCGGTTGCAAATAAGGTGTGACATAATGAAACTCTGAGACCAAGTGCAACAACTCTGAGGGCAAATATATCAACATTGTGATGAGTGACTATTAATCTGAAATAATGAATGCTTATCACAGATACGATTAGATGCACTCTGGTCAGATCTGTCGCTATCTCAAACCTTCAAGCCCCACGTTGGGCGCCACAAAGGACTGATGTAGTTTAAGCCACACACAGCCACTTGCTCACTCCCCCCCTTCTTCCCCCACCCGCTCCCAGAGGAAGGGGGAGGAGAACCGAAAAGAATATTAGTCCCACGGGTTGAGATAAGAACAGTCCAGTAACTAAAGTATAATACAAAACTATGCTTACTACTGCTACTAAAGAAAAGGGTGATAACAGGGGGAGAGAATATAAAACTAAAAGGGGAAAGGAAAAGAAAACAATAAACACAAGTGATGCACAATACAATTGCTCACCACCTTCCAACTGATACCCAGCCCGACCCGAGCAGTGGTCTCAGCCTTCTGGGTAACTCCTCCATACTGGGCATGATGTGCTGTGGTATGGAATACCCCTTTGGTGTCCTGTCTCTGCTTCCTCCCGGCTTCCTGTGCCCCTCCTCACTGGCAGAGCACGAGACTGAAAAGTCCTTGATCGGAGTAAGCAATTACTCAGCTACAACGAAAAACATTGGTGTGTTATCAGCATTGTTCTCAGACTAAAGTCAAAAACACAGCACTGCACCAGCTACTAAGAAGGAGAAAAATAACTGTTACAAAAATAACCCAAGACAGTGGATATATATGATTTTTTGGGTGATACAAATTATTTGCCTAAGGATTTAAGCACTGAATTATCTAAATGCACAGCAGTGATGCTTGTTTAAATAATTACTAAGTCCACAAATGTTATAGGGAGAGAATGGGGAGATTTGGACTTATGTCTGTATTAAAAAGTAGAGTTTCTTTTTTGGTGTAGCATGAGATTTTTTTTGTCTGTTTGAACACCTGATGTCACTGAATCTAGACTGTTGTTTGGTTGGCATCAGGGGTTTCTTGCTGGATTAAACATCCGTATTCAAGATTCCCTGGTACTCTTTCCCTTGGCTTATTTTTCAGGAAAAAAAAACCCACAGAACAGATGGCCACTTGATTTGCAGGGCAGCACTTACATCATAGCCTGTTTTAGATTATTTGGCAGTTTTTAAAGTGCAAAAGTGGGCCCTTTATTCCTTTTACTTACAAGTCATAGTCTTATTATGGATAATCTGGAATTTGGGAGCATTTGTTTTATATTTTAGTTCTGCAACTGACTCCTCTGTGGCCATGGAAGCTTCTTGTTTCCTGTACCCACCTCCCCATCTTTACAACAGATCTGATATTTTCACTCCACATGGCTGACAGGGATTAGATAATGCTGAGTATGTGAATTAAAACCATCTAATAATGTTGATAGAAATCATCAAATGGAGGAAACATTGCAGATTTAAGGAGTGTCTGGTTTAAATCCTTTTTCAACCCAAAAGTTACTGAACTTTTGCAGTTGGGCCGGGTGTGCCATGTGTTTACCTGTTCATTGGTGTGCTGGAGGGCCAGCACCTGTTTTCCACTGGAGAATATCAGGTGCAGATGCAGTTACCTTCATTTCCTAAAGTAATTCCAGATGTAGGGGTAGAGCATTGCTGGCCTGCCCCCGAAGCTTAACTTCTCCAACTGGAAAGCTCAGCAACAGCTCATGTCCTGTGCTGGTGGCAGCAGGATGCACCCATCACCTCTGGTGGCAGGGAATCACCATCCATTCCACTTCTGATGTGAGGGTGCTTGACATTATCTCTGTGTGCATTGACATAAAATATAACTCTAAATCAATGAGGCAAAACATTATATTGTTATATTTGTACATGTTTGAAGTGGCTATGAAAAACATTTTTACCACATTGATTTAAAGGCTGAATTTAGTTTTTAGCATTTTTCTTTTGTGTTTATCAAGAGAGGTTTGTGCTTTTCTCTGATAAGCTTCACTTAGAAAATCCCATCTGTTTGGGATATGTAGAAAATAAGCCACTTTGTATGGTCATATTCCATTGATCATGTTTTTTCTTGTCAGTGCATAGTGACTAAGACCTGAGCTAGAATACATAGTGTTTCTGTGTGCCAACAAGGTGATGCTTCCCTATCTAACCTTCCCTGTTTTTCATTGTAGGCTTGATCCCTATACAGATTCCTATTATGACTATGAAATAGAACGGTTCCGGCGTGGTGGGCAGTATGAGAATTTCAGGATTCAGTATGCAGACCCAGATCCATATCGTAACCACAGAGTAAGTAGTTTCCGTGCTTCTCCTTTCAGCTTTCTTCCAGGCACTTCTGGCCCTTGTCATGTTTCTAGTGCAGTGGTTGAAACAGGACTTGTGATGGATGTTCAAGATGCATAATCTTACAAATAGTTAAATCTTGACAATTACTGCACAGAAGACATTAGGTGTAGGGATGGGAGGAGGTTCTGTTTCAGCGTGGTGAAGGCAAAAGCATGTCTGAGATGGGAAGATGGTTCCTCTTCAATGCACTGGCTGCTTCTCTGCATACCAGGCAGTTGTGCAACAGTTGCAGCCACATTTGCAGCCATTCTTGGACATATTGGAGAGGGAGGGAGTTTCCAGGAAATAACCCGACTGAGGTTTGCTTGTTAGTTATTGGGACAGACAGAAAGGATTGAATCTGGACAGGCGTGCTTAATGCACAGAGTCTCCATCATGACTGTCCACCGCTAGTGGGGTTACATGTTAGTTGATCGAGTTAGGTGAGGAAACCACCCAGCCAGTTGCTGAAATCCCAGATATTGTCGATTGGTGTTGCACTGCTTTAAGGTGTCAAACTACATGAAAATAAGGCTATGAACCTTTTCCCTCCACTTCCTTTTGCCCTCATGCAAGCTATTGTGCCTCGAGAGTAGTGACAAAAAATAATGAATTCTGTTCAGTGGGGAGCTTTTCAGTGGTATTTGTCACATCCTTTAAAAATTGACTTTCCTTTGCCTGGAAGACCTTGCTGTTATGCAGAAGCAGTGCACAAGCAGGAGCCTGTCCTCACTATTGATGCGCCATCAATTATTTTCATGGTGTTTGTACAGTTAATTAGCTAAACACAATTAGCAATGAGAGTAAATACTTGTAAACATCAATACATTTATTTAATAAGTGTAATAAGCTAAATTAATCTGACTCTTGCCTTTGAAAATTACAGCTGTGATGAGTATGATGTATGCTTTGTTCCTTTCCACGTTCTGCCTGCTCAGCAAACAGTGATGGCCAGCAAGCTCCACATTTATCTATCTCAATACTTTGGTCTAACATGGGAGGGTGAATGTAACTCCTTGTGGTCCAAGACTTTGAATCTTTGCTGCCCACTTTGTTAGGAGATGTTGCCACAACATCATGATGTTTTCTCTTTCCTTTTTAAAGGAAAGAGAGCGGGAACGGGAGAGAGAGAACAGACAACGAGAAAGGGAACGTGAGAGGGAACGGGAGAGGCGTCAGCGGGAGCGAGAACGGGAAAGGGAACGGGAGCGCGACAAGGAGCGCCAGCGGCGGAAAGAAGAGTGGGAACGGGAGCGAGAACGGGTGAAGAGAGATGAAAAAGACAGGCAGCACAGGGACCGGGACAGGGACCGGGAAAAGGAGAAAGAAAAAACAAAGCCCCGGTCCTTACTGATACCTAGGTAAGCACTTGCTGGATTTCAGACTTGCCATTTTAGCTGATGATGTCCTAGCTGTGGATCACGAACCAGGCTGATGCTGATCAGTGGAGATCTCTTTTGTCCACAACTCAAGTAAAGCAGTAGTTTTGAGAGGAAGGCAATGCTTTAAATGAGCCTTGCTGGCCACTAAGAGGAGCTAAGATGTCAGTAAGAACCAAGCATGCATAACCTGACTGAAAGGAGAGCATCTGTCCTCTGGCCTGTAGGTATAGAGATGTTCAGCTTGTCCCTGTTCCCTTGAGGCTAGAGCATGTCCTGGGAAGCTGGCCGAGTCCCTAGTGCTGAGAGAGTCCTGCAGATGGTGGCAGCTCCCTTTGATGCTTTGACAAATATCCTTTGACAAGAGCCAGGGCTGGTTTGGGAGTTTGTGGATAGCAAATGTATCTGGAAATTCATTAAGTTAAACTCCACAAAGAGGCTAGAAAAAGTAAAGGGATTGTATGTCTCGAAATGAGTCTCTGCTGGGTGGAATGTGGTGTGGAGCCAGGTTTCTTGCTTCTGACTACCCATTTTTTTCTTAAAATCCCAGTTCTGACCTGTGTGTGAGAAAAAATTGAACCAGATCGACTAAAAGTCTAGGAATTTCAAAAGTGACTCCTATTCTGTTCCTCTCACAATTATTTAAGTACCATGAATTAGGCATATTTGTAAAGCACTGTATAAATATCACAGCAGAATATAGAGCTTGTCTTATGGGAAATTCTGATATCACAGTGTCTTTTGGGTCAGAAGAGTATCAAGTTTCTTGTGAAGGACATCTCCAGGAAACCTGATTAGCAGTGTCAGTGTCTTGGAAAGAGTGGCAGATAGTGTCTTCCAACAGCATGTTGAGGAACATGTGGACATACATGTGTATGTGTGTGTTGGAGCAAAGAGGGATGCAGGGAAGCTGTTTCCCAAGACATATTTGAGCTGCTGCTTCTGCCTGATGTCTGTAGTGTTTTTCGAGCACTAAAGGTGTGAAACATCATGAGCATGATGTTTTTTCACCAAAGCAAAGGGCTAAGAAGGCCCAGAACAAGGTACCACATGGAATTGTGTGGTTTCAGGTGGGAGCAGGGTTTAGTCTTGAATCTGACCCTGAATTTTTATTTGCATTACTAGAAGGAAATGTGATTTTTTGATGATGACCCGTTTTTCCAAGAGGAAGTCACAGTTTCAGAACAGTTTGAAGGTGTCTTGTGAGTGCTTTGGTGCAGTAGCAGAGTGGCTATAGGAATACATTCAATTATATGCTACGTTTAATTATAATCTTCACTTAGAAGTATAATTTGTGCACCTTAATTGCCACATTTGCTGTTGGTTTGTGCTCCTGTTGGGTTAGTGCTGGAAGAAATCTTGCTGTCCAGAACCATGTGATAAAGGTGATGAGAATAATGAAAGTGACATCAGCTGATGGGCAGCTCAGGTTGTTAGTCATTAACAGTCACTGTGACCGGGATCATTGCACAAGGCTCAGGCTGCTGGTTGCTTCTTCCCTTGACACTCAAAGGGTCATGGGGCAGGGATTTGTGGGAGTTTTTGCTGTTAGTGTGGCTCAGAGTTTGCTGGGGAGTAGTGGTAACCATGTTCCTCAATCTTGGATCCATCTTGCCCCATGTAACCATCTGTGTGAGCTGAGACACGGAATTTATGGTGCTTGCAATATATGCTTTGTGGATGCAGGTTCCCTGCTTCCCTCCCGTGCCACCTCTTTGACATAAGCACTGCTTAAGGAAGCTGGGGATGCCACTTGGATCTCCAATATAGGCTTCTTAAGACGAGTCTTAGTGAATTAAAAATAGCCTTGATACACCTCATTGCCTTTTTTAAAGTTTGCTGTTTCTAGAAGCATGTACAGAATCTACTGTTGGAAGTGTCCTTAGCCTCATCCTCTAACGTAAGTGCTGTGTGCAGTTCTGGTGTCCTCAACATAAGAAGGACATGGAGATGTTGGAGCAAGTTCAGAGGAGGGCCGCAAGGATGCTAAGGGGGGCTGGAGCACCTCCTGTGTGAAGACAGGCTGAGAAAGTTTGGGCTGTTCAGCCTGGAGAAGAGAAGGCTGTGTGGAGACCTCATAGCAGCCTTCCAGTATCCGAAGGGAGCCTACAAGAATGCCGGAGAGGGGTTCTTCATCAAGGACTGTAGAGATAGGACAAGGACTAATGGGTTTAAACTTAAACAGGGGAAATTTAGATTAGATCTAAGGAAGAAGTTCTTTACTGTGAGGGTGGTGAGGCACTGGAATGGGTTGCCCAGGGAAGTTGTGAATGCTCCATCCCTGGCAGTGTTCAAGGCCAGGTTGGACATGGTTTTGTGTGTGGTTTCTCTGCCCATGGCTGGGGGGTTGGAACTAGATGACCTTAAGGTCTTTTCAACCCTAACCAGTCTATGATTCTATGACTGTGGGGCCAGGTAGCTGGGAGAGAGGGACAGCAAGCAGGGCTTTCTTTTGGCTTCATTTGCATGGGGTTTAAAAGCTGGTGGCAAGAAGAGTTTGTCATTTTCATGTTAAGAAGCTAGTTTTGAATGAAAAGCTTTAAAATCTCCCCCACAAAATCTTAGGTCAGCACCTACACACAATATTTCCTCTTAGGGGAGAATGGAATTAATGGAGTAATTATCAGTAAACCCAAATGCCTTGTGTCTTGACAGAAGCTCTCCAGTACTCTTTAACAGGACTTCAGTTCCCCCTGTTGAAACCCATGTCAATATGAACACTTACTGCAGCATTTACTGGTGTATGGATGTTTGCAGAGAAAACAAAGCTGCAGAAATAAGTTTCAAAAAAAGCTTTTTAACAAAGTGAAAGCATAAGTCAACTTCTTTTCTCTTGGAGAAGACATCTCTCATCCAGCAGTTTGTGTTTCCCTACACTGCATTCCCTAGAAGCTTCTGTCACAATTAGTGTGATTTGGCTCTGGGCAGTGCTGTTTTGTCCCACATAACCTTTTTGAGAGGCTCCATACTTCCTCATGGCAACGTGGCAGTCTGAGTCATCTCACCTTTCCTCCAGATACCTCTGTGCTGTGCTGTATAGGGTCAGGTTTGGCACCTCGGGATTAAACAGCTCCTGAGTTTGTTTAATGTGTAAAATGCTTGTGATTGCTTTGTACTTCCTGGACAGCAGGATGCATGATAGTGGCGTAGAGCTCACCTGTGAGTCTGTTTATAGACTCTGGGCTTTCCCTAATTTCTAGATCCCAGCTTTTGGCAAGTTTGGACTTTACAGGTGTCACATGGCAATGGATGGGGGCTGTCCCTGCCCTGCTGCAGGTAGTTGCCCTTTAACATTCCTGCACCAAAGTCAGCACCACTTCCAGCTGTAGCCCACATGGCCCTGCTCTTCACTTACTAATGATTTGTAGAAAAACTCCAAGAACTCACCAACGAAGTTTAAGTTGACAAGCAGGTATTCTTTATTGCGGGGCCAGGAAACACGGGGGATAGCTCCTCCTAGTGTGTCTCTCTCAAGCACCAAACAAGCCATGATTATATAGTCATCAAACATACATATACATTACATTGCATGCATATTCATAAAGCTACTTATACATGACATAATTCTTCTAGAAAATTCCTCCCTGGTGCACAATAATGTGGTAGTGGTCTTTGGGACCCCTAGTGGTCATTTTTTCCTCATCTTCTTCCTCACTTCGTCCTTTGGCTGAACTTTAGGTTTGGAAAGTCCCATTGTTATGCCAGCAAACACTAGTTTGGTTCTAGCTGGGTTTTGTAAAACATTTACCTAAGATATTTCTTCACTGTCATCTACAACAAAGCTCTTACCCATTGCTATTGTTGCAAAGATGCCAAGCTCAACATTACTTAACCACAAAGCAGAACTGATTTTACTTATTTACAAAAGATTATACTTCATTTTGTATTTGTTTCACTAATGAGCTGGGGAGATTGGAAAATTGCTCCACAGAAGTTGTGCAACTGGCCATGAGTTTTGCCAAAGGCAGAGCTGAGGATGTCTGTAGTTAAAGGTAGATGCTCATCTGTCCATCAGCTTGGAGTTCCCTCAAGTATAGGTGGAAGGAACAAATTGTGACATTGTCGTGGTTTAAACCTAGCTAGACAGCTCGTTCACTCACTCCCCCCCTTTTCCTCCCTCTTTCTTTCCTTCCCCCTCCCCCCCTTCCCCGCTCCCGGAGGGATGGGGAGGAGAATCAAAAGAATGTAACTCCCACGGGTTAAGATAAGAACAGTCCAGTAACTAAGGTATAACACAAATCACCACCGCTACCACCAACGACAACAATAAGAGAAAATAACAAGGGAAGAGAATACGATACCACCCACCGAAAACGAGTCTGACCCAGAAGACCTCGTGTTCTTCCGGGTAACTCCCAGTTACCCCCCACCCCGGGCATGACGTGCTGTGGTATGGAATACCTCTTTGGCTAGCTTGTGTCAGGTGTCCTGTCTCTGCTTCCTCCCGGCTTCCCCTCCTCCCTGGGAGAGCACGAGACTCACAAAGTCCTTGGTCAGAGTAAGCATTACTTAGCAACAACTAAAGACATCGGTGTTATCAGCACTGTTCCCAGGCTGTAAGTCAAAACACAACGCTGCACCAGCTACCAAGAAGGAGAAAAATTGACTGCTACTGCTGAACCCAGGACAGACACACACAATGTGGTGTTGAAAGGATGAAAGAAAACTAAAAGCAAATAGCCAGGAACATAAAAACAAATTCCATTTCTGTTATATTGAAAGCAGGAAGGTTTAATCTGATCTCTAAACAACAGCAGAGCAATTAAGGGTAATAACACAGAAAAGCCAGAGGACTTCCTGGCATCACTGGTTGCTACAGATGAGGAGGATTAGAATTTAACAGCAAACAAGGATTGTAAACCCTAATGGACTCAGTGGCAAATGCTTCTCCTTGAACCTATTAAAAGAAGAGACTGCAGTGTTTGGACTTTAAGTAGGATTGTCAAATGTGGTTTGGACTTTTTTTGAAGGAGTGCTTACTG